AAAATCGTTACTTTAATAAGACTTTCTTATGATAAGATGATCTTCAAAATCAGCCAATCATAATAAAGCCCGCTATGTAGATCGGTGCTTAGTCTGGTTTTTCGAACTGTTGACTTTTGTCAACATATATGGAAAATATGGAAGTTAAGTGGGGTTCTAGCTTCAAGTCAAAAACACTGGCTAACGTCTCGTCAACGGCCTGGCTCCATTTCGTAGCTGGAGGGTAGAGTATTCGTATGATGCCTTTATCGACCTTCAGCCTATCAATACCCGAGTTCTAAATTAAAAGTGCATTGGTCCAATTCTAGTATTGGAGGGATGGTCGGAGCAACTGTTACCTCTCCTCTGGATGTTATGAAAACTCGGCTACAGGTACTTAAGCAATGAATCTCTCGAGTACTTCCCGAACAGATCGCTAACAATTAGGTAAATTTTTACCTTTATCCAGTCGTCTTTATATAATCCCAAATCACAGTCTACACAACCTTTTGTTCGATCTACAATCCCGATCCTTGGACATTTTATTGACACAGGGAGATTATTGACGTACATTATTATAATAATTATAAATATAGTTCTAATGTCAATTAGTGACTAATTAGCGCTATCAATTTTTGGTTTAGGTATGTGTACCGCAACGAAGGCTGGAGGGCATTTTTTAAAGGATTAGGACCAAATTTAGTTGGCGTAGTACCAGCGAGGTAACAATTTAATAATAATGCATAAATATCTTTAAAATTTTGTCACATGATAAATTTTAATTATCACATATAGAGCAATAAATTTTTTTACATATGGAAATGGCAAACGAATTTTGACGAATTGGAATGGAGAAGAAACACCATTAGTACAATGCACAGCTGCGATTTTCGCAGGTAAGTTTATATCATAATCTTTGACTTTCACTTTTCTTCAGCTATTTTTCTGAATTATTCTTTGATAACGTTAAAACAGGAATCACGACATCTACTTTAACAAATCCTATATGGCTTGTGAAAACTAGAATGCAACTTCAAAACGATTCCCTAGCTTCATATAGACCTATCAAATATAAAAATTCTTTTGATTGTGTGGTTAAAGTTGTTAGAGAGGAGGGTATATCCGGATTATACAAAGGATTAAGTGCTTCATATTTAGGTAACATTTTATGAAAAAAATAATAATAATAATTTAAAAATTTTTAAGGTTATCTAATGCCATTTTGAAAATTATAGGTGTGACCGAAAGTACGATACATTGGGTTGCCTACGAATACCTTAAGTCAAAACTTTCAGAACGTAGAAAGAACATATCTGGTGAATCCGTGCAACCACTTTATTTGCGCATGTTCGATAACCTGCTTGCCGCAGGTTTATCTAAATTTGTGGCAGCATGCATTAGCTATCCTCATGAAGTATGATCGATTTATTTAATTTGCAATGGATAATGCATTTATGTAAATAGAATTTTTAATTTACCAACAATTCTTAAAGGTCATACGGACTCGCATGCGACAACTTCCTGCAGGCGGAGTATCTAAATACAATGGAATTGTTCAATGCTTTAAAACAATACTTCGAGAAGAAGGTATCTCAGCTTTTTATGGTGGTATGACAGCACACATGATGCGTGTTGTGCCTAATGCAGCAATAATGTTCTTTTGTTATGAGTCGATTTTGCATTATGGTGAAGTTTATAATAATAAATCATAGGGTTGGAAAATTTTAATATAATAAACACTCACAAGATTAACTTTGTCAATCCATAATGGAATATTTTAAACTTTTCTTTGCATATTTATTTATACCAATGATTGGTTTAGAGTTTGGAACCGACCAAAAAATCATTAGCCGGTTAATTAATGGTTAATATAGAATCTGCTTTAAAACGCAAATGACATTTTTTGACTGAAGATGAACAAGAGAGCAATGTTTGAATGCTCTGGAGAAATGAAAAACCATCTAATTTTGTATACTGCCTCTACTTCTGCCAGATGTCTTATCTATTGAAAATATTTTTCTAAATAAAATTCCGATTAATGTATAAATTTTCATTCATATCTATTAGATTTCCAACGTTGTTAGAGTGTATATATTTGATAATTGATAAGTGCTCACACCTCGTTGGAAACTAAGATTAAACGTTGCTACCTGATTTAGTGCTCAAATCTCTATCATGACGCGTAATAAGTTCTTTATACAGTCAGACCTCCCAAAGTGCACGGATTATGTAAACTCTCTCTAAATGCACGGCATAGTCCGGCCCCAGCTCTATATATTTTGCTCTCTATAAATGCACACCCTCTCTAAGTGCACACTTTTCAATTTTTTTCTTATGGTCTGTACTTAGGGAGGTCTGACTGTACTAAGAACGAGTTCTATCCTAGTACCTCTACGATTATGTAAACCTTTGAGATTCTACGCGGTAAAAGTGATTTCCAAAATACCAACCTACTGACTGTAAAAATCAACAAAATGCTCAAATCAAAGGTGAATTATATTTAAATATTGATCGGTTAACCGGATAGTAATTAATCGGTTCCAATCTCTAGATCGTGTGTATAAAATATATAAATAATGCCCCCTTCAATGTTTTAATTCTTCGATTATATTCCTTGCCCCTCGTTCAATCAGAATTTTTGAGACCTTGCCTAACTCATTAGCCGTGTCGATTCCATCAATATATTTAGTTACTTCAGCACGAATAATTTTCGAACCGTCTAGTTGAGCAACTAAACTTTCCAACCTTAGCATACGTTTACCTTCGTTTTCCTCGACAAAACTCGTGTTAACACCAATTGGAACGCCACATCCACCTTCTAAAGCCATCAATAACGACCGCTCGGCCGTGCATCGCAATTTTGTGTCCGTATCTTCCAGTACCGAAAGCAACTCAATGATATCTTTATCATCATCTCGACACTCAATAGCCAATGCACCTTGTCCAACAGCATATAGCATAATAGTTGGTGGAAGAATTTATGATATTCGGTGATTCAGACCTAATCGTACAAGACCTGCGACAGCTAATATTATAGCAGAATACTGCCCATCCGGATTATCTAATTTTGCAAGCCGCGTATCCCTGAATAATTATGATATTACTACATGCAAATATCCCCTTTATCATCTAGAAACATCAGTGAATGAAAAGAATACCTACAGATTACCTCTCTTAGAAATATAATATACAATTAGTTTAATTGCTCTTTTAAATAAAGATAATTAAAGGAGCTTTCTATACATACAATATTCTGGAAAATCAGATCAGGAAACGAATTTTTCAATTGAGAAATTCTTCTAACACTACTAGTTCCAACAATGCTGCCTTTTGGTAATTCCTCTAAGGATTTGGTAGTTAGGCCTTCTTTAATAATCACAGCATCATTCGGGTCCTCTCTTTTTAATATCGCGCCAATTGTCATTCCTTTAGATAAAGTAGTAGGCAAGTCTTTTAAACTATGAACTACTAAATCAACGGTTTTATTTTCTAAGGCTCCTTTGTAAATAATGACTTTTCACCAATTTGATATAAAGGTTTATTAAGAATTTGATCTCCAACACCCTTCAATCTTAGGCTCTGATTAGGACCTTTGGTCCGTCCAAGATAATTAATGATGTTAGAAACTTGTAGCGCGTTTAGAAACATTCTACTTTCGTTTGGATCAAAATCATCGCTATGCCCAAAATTTGAAATTCAAAATCGGGATAAGCTCGTTGTAATGCTTTTGAACTTCATTAGTTGGTACCAGAGCAAGTTTTGACTTGCGAGTCCCAATAGTGAAGGTTTTTGGGGTTGACATTATCGTTATTAACGTTAAGAAAGACTTATAATCTAGCATGCATAGATTTCCAAGTTCTCTTACTGAAATAGGAAGTTTAATTTGTATTGGCTACGACTAAGTACATATGTATGACGTATACGGTCATATGAAACGCAAAGGCAGCCACGAAATATTTCTACAGAATTTTTTACCAGCACTGTAAATTAAAATTTGGGTTAAGTTCAAAATATAAAATATGTACCTTAGACTTTTATAATGTTAATGATAATTTTTTTTCATTTCGTGTAAATGAAACATTTCTTTTTTTTAGCATTTATCGTTTTCATTTATCGTTACCGTACGCTATCAGTGTTGGCATTGGACTTATTCCAATTGGTTTGATTGGAGTTATTGGACAATTGGACAAATTGGACGATTTGGACGATTGGACAATTGAATATAATTTAACTATGTCAAACTTACATATTTAGATTAATGACGTTTAATTAGTAATTTTTATTGATTACATATATCGTATATATCATACTAAATTCTTTTTTGAATTGGACCAAGTCCAATTGTATTTGGACTTATTGGTACTAGTACAATTAGTCCAATAACCAATTAATCCAATTGTCTAAATAAGTCCAATTCCAACGCTGTATGCTATCGTAATAAGTACCTCCCTTCCTTTCTCTACCCCAATTTTAAATGTCAGACTAGCGGCAATGGAGATCTAGCTAAGTTATTCTCGTTAATCTGATATTTAAAAAAAAATGAAAGGTACTTATTTGCGGTAGAATACGGTATATCAATTACTCATTGATATCAATTCCGGAAATTAGTATCCTACCTAGTGATGTGAGTTGGTAGCTACCGTGAGGTTAATGTATAAAGTGGTAGATGGTAGGTAGATGATTAGCAGTTTATTAAATCTGATTGGTTGATTACGGCTTGCACTATATATATAGGTAGAAGAATTAGCTAATCAGAATGAAAGTCTGCTATACTACATTACAGCTAATGGTAGCTACCACCTACTGGTATATACCAGTAGGGAAATTGTGATTTGGGAGAATTCACGGATGTTCTATAGAATAGGTGGGCAAACTCTGAAAACTCTGCAACTCTGCTAAATATCTATTAATAATTACTAATTATTAGCGGAGTTTATTTTTATATTGCCCACCTATTCTATAGAACATCTGAATTTATATTACTAATCCTATCACATTAAGCACCTCTTCTTCACCAATGAGGTTGCTGGATTTGTAAATATTAGTACTAGGGATGTTAAAAGTCTGGCCTGGTCCAGTCTGACTCCATGAGTCGAGTTTTAATCTAGACTGGTCCTGAGTCAGACTTGGGACCGAGTTCCAGTAATCTCATAGTAATAATCACATGCAATAATGTGATATAATTGAACCAATTAAAAATTGCCTAGAGGTCTATTGAAAATTACTATCACATAACAATAATATTGTTGAGCTATAAAAAAGTAACAAGAAATTTTTAGAATCCAAATAAATAAGCTTCTAATTAAAATTGTAGAGATACTAAACAGGTATAAAGATATTAATACAAAAAAAATTTATACTATTATTTAGAATAACCAATCTGATTTTATTATTTTCTATATAGCAACTAAAAAAAAAAGACCACTTTATGCCTTTGTTAACAGCCCAATCAAGATCATAAAAATAAAAATAAAATAAATAAAAAATCAAAAATAATAAATAAAATAAAAATTACAAAAAAAAAACTTCAAAATAATAGCCTAAACATCTTTATATGTGAGTGCTATCAAGGTATTAGACTTTTAATTATATTTTATATTAGATACAATCTAATTTATTAGGAATTTTATCTAATATAAAATATAACTGAAAACAGTAATAACAAATGACAAGGTCATAAAAATTTTTATGAAAATGACAATAAATGACATGTTATTTTAAAATGACAATGTCATTTATTATTAAAAAAATTTATACAAAATCATGGCAAAATGACAAGTTATAAAAAATATTTTTATAAATAACATTAAAATGACAAATAAATGACAATAATACCAATCCTAAATATGTTCTTAAGACCAAGCTTCTTTGCAAAGAACAATTCTTAAATAATTCTTAAACTGCTTAATTATACTACTTAATAACTTTATTATTGCTTATAATTTACCTATTTACTATAAATAGATAATTTGAATACAAGGAACAGAGTGATATATATCACAAAGTATATAGTTTATAAGCATTTTTAGTGCAAAAATTTTGTAACTGATTGAACAATTTATTAAATGCAATGAAATGTGAAATTCTGCACTTTAAGCTTTATGATATTGTATCACATAGCACTATATTTATATATATAATGAATGTTCAACTTGTAATTTGTATTGTGCTAATAGGTTTTGTCTCAATTAAAGTAAATGACAATCAATGCTTTTTTTTTTATTATTGTCCTTTAAAATAGAACTAACCAAATACAGATTTACTGTTAATTGCTTTCAGAACTGGGTTTGGCTACACAATGGAGCCAAGCCAACCAAAGCTGATATGTTGCTACTTAAGCTATGACTAAGTATTAGCTACAACTGAATCACTTTTAAAGTTATAGCTTCATATTAAACCATAACTATTGTATCCATGACTTGTATTATGGCTAGAGCATAACTTGGCTATAGTTCAAGTTGTGGTAAATAATATCGATAAGATTTGTATTAAATATTATTACGTTGCTGCAGTAATAATTATTTTAAAGCAATATTGTATTTAAAGAGGTTATACAAATATTAACAGCTCTAAAAATCTTTAATATGTTGAAATTGGTCTACAAAATTCTATGTCATATAATGTCAGGTTTTCACATAATATTTCAATTAAGTATTTTCTTATTTAATCAATTGAACATCATCAATCAATATACATATTAATTAATTTTTCATTTTAATTTTTATTCATATGATTTAAGGTACTCTCAAGCATATAAATTATAGATTAGAACTCTATTTTTAATTGGTGAAAAGTAGATTAACTGGTAAGTAAATTCATTATTGCAATAAAAAAAAAGTTTGAAGCCCTCTTTTTTGTTTTATACTTCAGCAAAATAACAGTAGAGATCACTTCAATTAATCGTAATATTCATTAGTTCAACTTGTATTAGTTAAAACATTTCTAAATTATTCAGATTATTATGAACAGATCCGTATAGTATAAAGTGTGAAATATCCCTATTTTTAATATCTGTTCTGGTGTTATATATTATTAAGGTTAGCTTTGGAAAATTGTAGTGAATTGTTTTTTAAAGATGTATTTTACATTCTATTAACAAAGTTAAGTGAATTAAATATGGCTTATTTATTTTATTTATTAATAAAAATTATATAAACTATAAATGACAAGTATAGTCATAAAAAAATAAATAATTTTTTTATGACAAAAATGATTTGTTATATGACAAGGTGTCATTTATTTTTAAATAACAATGTGCTATCACTGACTGAAAACCCAATGACAGAGTGGCATTTATATAAACTTACATTTTATTAAAAGCACCAAAGCAAAATAAATTAAAAGAACTTTAAAGCCTTAACCTCTAATATACAGTCAGACCTTACTAAATGCAACCTTTATAAATACAAAACCTCTCTAAATACAGTCTTTTTGTAGTTCTATTATATATACACTTATAGATTTTTATTTTTTTAAATGCAATGCCTTTCTAAATACAAGATTTTTTATAATCTGTATACAGTATATTTACAGAAAATTAATTATAATATATCTCAAATTGTCAATTGCAATATATAAAAAGAATATTCTGATATCTAATAAAATATAGCATTCTATATATAAAAAATTATAATCATCTTCTTGAACAAATGACTCAAGCTTCATTATATTTAAAAAATTGGATAGAAGCAAAAATTTTAAAATAGATGAATATAATAAAATAATTATATATATATAGTAGCTTACTATATTATTATAAACACTTTTCAAACTTTTATATTAAGCTAAATAAATAAGATATAAATCTAAAAATTATAAAATTTTTAAATAAAAAAAAGTTTGTAAAATTCTATACAATAGTTTTTAAGTTAGTTAAAGTTACACAATTTTGTATAATGTTATATTTGTACAAAATTAGTAATTTTAAAAAATTAATTGTCATAATTACTGTATATTAAAAAAAAATTTTTTATTAAATAAACTATATGTAATTATTATTATTATTATTTTTTCAATGTTAAGGTGACCTCTTTGTCAACGGTGATTTATTATCATTAAGTATTATTTCAGTATATAATGAGAGTACATATAGCCACACATGTATTTTTGATGCCTAATTTAAATAGTCTGCCCAAAGTGGTAGTGCTATGCTAAAGGTTCTACACTATCTGCCATACCTGCATCCCCACTATATAGGGTACCTATTTAAACCTTCTGATTATATCCTTATTTTTACCATGTGGGACTTAAGACCCAGATGTAATTTCACTACATATACTAAGTATATAGATCTATGCGACACTACTAGATTAATAGCCAGACTTAGAATAAGACTATATATTCTTATTTATCCTCGAGGTAAACTTGCTAGAGTAGTACATTTCCACAATATATTTACCTAGACTTCAGTAACTTATACTATAGCTTAATCCATGCACTTGGGGTTGTGGCATGACTATTAGACTCCTATTGTTATCTACTTCCTACTTTTTTAAAGTTCACAGATCTCTGTACTATATTCTATCACTTTTTGCACTCTACTTCTTTTGGTATCGTTATACTTCCAAATTCAGAAGGCCCGGAAGGATTAGTCTACCCAGACTTGAGTTTCTCAGGCTCAGGTCTGAAGATCAATCTCTGGTCCATGATTTTATAGCATGTGGCCTTTTTCTCCAAAGGTCACCATTAGGTGTTCCCAGTGGCTAGGTTGGTAGATCCCTTTTGCTCAAAGAATCTTTTGTTATACAACTTCTCCAATTTTTTGAGGTCCAGTTAGATCTGTCTTGTAGTATTAGGTCGTAC